CATTATATGAAGTTCAAAACCTTGCAAAATTAACCAATCTATGATGTTAGATGTCAGGATATTATTTATCTTTGGGTGCGTGTTGGGTAATGACTAGAAAGGGGGTACAAGGGAGTATCTGAGATACTGGTAATATACTGTTTCTTGGTATGGGTATTGGTTATATAACAGTGTTCACTTTGTGAAAATCTACCATGTTCTGATATGTATATTACATTTCAAACAACAGTTCACTTAAAAACACACAATAAAATTTTTTGGAAAGCAAGTTGACACTTGATTTGTATGTCTATACGAAACAGTATGTGTATAATGACAATCGATATATTTTTGAAAAAGAACTAAGGACCTAAAAGACAACAAAATTTACTATTTTAAAACTACAGCAATTAAAATTTACTGGTACACAGTGTATTTAATAGTACACATAATAGGCAAATCAATGGAACAAACTAGAATGAATAGAAAGTGACCCAGCAGATATGAGAATTTTTTAGTATGGTACACATAGCATTTCAATGTATAAGCACATTGACTTGTGCACTTAAGTAAAAGCATTAAACCTATAAGTTGTATAAGAGAAAGAACACTGTCTAAAAGAGACAAGAGAATTCTGGTTAATGCTATTAATTAGCTCAGTCATTTCACTTCTCTGGGCCTCAATGAATTGACCCCTAAAATGACAGGTTTGAAATACTGTACTTTCTATGACTTACAATCGAATTAATTGAAAAATGAGAATTTTAGACAAGAGGAGAATAACAGATCAGAGTTAACTTTGAAGCTTGGGGCAGGTACACAAGATAGTAAAGGTAGAAACAGTCATCTGATTTACCCAGCAAAAAACAAGATGGGGCCAGTGGTGACCTGGAGGAAAAGAAAAAAAAAGAAAATGAAAAGTAGCAGGACACTACAGATGAACTTCGTTATTGAATTGAGGGTAAGTTTCCTTGGAGTCCTGGAGACACAACCTATACCATTTTCATTCCCACCTTAATAGGCAACTACAGGTTGATGAATCCTGAACACTGTACAATGCACACAAACACTGTGTTATATATAAAATCTATGTACTCTGAACCGGTGTAATTCAAGCCCATATTTACCTTGCAAATGGAAGACGCATCAACTTGCACTGTTTACTAATCCGTTTCTTCTTGCTAGCTGACAGTAGAAAGGAACTCTGATGGAACTATTTTTGAAAAGAACAAAGGAAATGCAAAGAAAAAAAGTTTCTAACCTCATTAAATCATGTTTGTTTTTGAAGTACCAAATTATAGAATGACATCTATAGTAAAAGAACAATTCTTACATTAGCCTTCAATAATTTAATGAGAATAATGTGATGATAAGGTTAAAACACAGTTCATCCTTAATCATCCCAACCAAAGATAATAACTACCAATATTTTGGTACATGGCCTTCCAAACATTCTTCTATGCACAGGAATAAATTACGTGCTGCAGTCCCCAACCCCCCGGTTATGGCCCGGTACCACTCTGTGGCCTGTTAAGAACCAGGCCACACATCACAGCCTGAGCTCTGCCTCCCCCTACCCTCCGCCTTGTCCCATGGAAAAATTGTCTTCCATGAAACTTAGGAACCAGACACACAGCAGGCGGTGAGTGCTGGGCAAGCCAGAGCTAGCTTCATCTGTATATAGAGCCGCTCCCCATCCCTCACATCACTGCCTGAGCTCTGCCCCCCTCGTCCATGGAAAAATTGTCTTCCATGAAACTGGTCCCTGATGCCAAAAAGGTTGGAGACTGCTACATATGCGTATACCCACACATACACGATATCTCTACTTATATATGCAATATGTTCATGTTTACATATGTATTATG